CTAGGTGAACACACTTGATCTGATAAAATATGGGTTACCCTAAATATATATATATATATATATATATATATATATATATATATATATATTCAACTAGAAATAACCGATGACTCAGCATTCACGACCTTTTTGACGCATTGTTCTAGTTTCCGGGCTTTTTACTTGACAATATCGTTTGAATTAAAGATGGTTCGCACAAAATTACTCATGTATTCGTCGTCCTTTACATTCTGACGTTTCGAAATCCTATCTCAGCGCCGGAGAATACTGAATGGCGTAAGAAATAAGTTTTGAGTTTTAAAGGATAAAAATTGCGCACTTTTATTAAAAAGCACCTTTTAGCACGGAGAACACAAATGAAGCATGGCTAATTGAAGTAAGGCGGAATCCTATTTTCGCTTTGATACCTATGAAATGCACCAATACCAAACACCAAAACATCAAAATGCAATACAATACATATGAAATCCAATAAAATACACAAAAAATACCTATAGAATAAAATACAATGCATAACATAGTTCAAGGATTGTGCAAAAATGTGTTTGTCTGCTTAAGGCTGGGAAGAGTTTGTCAATAAATACACTTTCTCAAATCTGAAGGCGTCTTCTGTCATTGTACGTCCGTAAAATGTCAGTGTCGTCTGTCAGTTGTTGTCGTGTCAATGTGCCGTCGTATTCGTGTCGCATGTGGTCCAGAGGTGCCTCGTCACGTAAGTGCATTGTGTCGTGAGAGCGTCGCTGTGGTCACGCCAATGTAGTGTATGTAACGAAGTTTGCAGTCTTCAATGTTGCTTTTGAATTGATGCACTACATTGGTGCATGTTTGTTTGTCGGGTTTGTCTGGGCTGTTTCTCATAAGAAAGGTAGGGATTTTATTATTACGATAATAAATGACGATGCCCATTTTGTAGTCGCTCTTCCCTTTTACGTGTCGAGCGATAATTTCCCGCAGGGCTTTTTCATCTCGTTTGTGGGCAGATGTCGTTTGATTTTAAACATACAGTTTGACGGTTAGTTGGATGCCTTGTCTTGGTTTGCTGTTAAAGCGTCTTGTCATTTGTCGTTGTATTTGGTTTTCAACGTCAGAATTGGAAAAAAAAACCGCTGTTCACCAAGATCTGTCTGATTCTTACGAAGTCTGAATGTAGTCCTTTCCAAACAGAGCAGTGCTTAAATGCACGTCTAATAAATGACCTTATGACGCTAATTTTGTAGCGTCGAGGGCACTCACTGTCGGCATTTAAGCACCGTCCGTTGTTAGTCTGCTTTCAGTATGTAGTCATTTTAAATCGCTGTCATGTCCATTAACAATCACGTCAAGAAAGGATATTATGTTTTGCACACTTGCTCTCTTGTGAGTTCTAAACCAGACTGCTCTTCAAAGGTGTTTTTGAAGCGTTCTAGTTGGTCAGTGTCCTTAACTTCCACAAAGATATCGTCTACATAGCGACAGTAAATGTCCGATCTTATGTCGTCATTTTGTAGTGTATCGGCTTCCACATGGTCCACAAAGAAATTAGCGAACAAAGGTCCCACAGATGAGCCCTTCGCAACACCCTCAATTTGGCAGTACATTCGTCCATCAGGCCCGTGGAAAGGAACTTCCAACGTGCAGGCTTTCAGTAACTGTGCAAGAAGGCGCCTTGATGTTTTGAGAGGAGGAATTTCGGGATGATTGTAAACGTGTTCAAGGATGATGGATACGGTTCTTTCAATAGACACGTTTGTAAATCGATTTTCAACATATAGAGAGGCTAGTAGGCATCTATTAGGCTTTCTTATGAGAACCAGTCCAGACAAACTCTACAAACTAAAATGCACCATGTAGTGTATCAATTCAAATGCATCATCGAATGCCGCAAACTTCGCTCCATTCACTGAATATATATAATAAGAGAGAGAGAATAGAGAGGAGAGAGCGAGAGAGAGAGAGAGAGAGAGAGAGATAGAAGAGAGAGAGAGAGAGAGAGAGGAGAGAGAGAGAGAGAGAGCGAGAGAGAGAGAGAGAGAGAGAGAGAGAGAGAGAGAGAGAGAGAGAGAGAGATAGATAGAGAGATAGAGATAGAGAGAGAGAGAAGAGAGAGAGAACGAGAGAGAGAGAGAGAGAGAGAGCGAGAGAGAGAGAGATGAGAGAGAGAGAGAGAGAGAGATGGAAGAGAGAGAGAGAGAGAGAGAGAGAGAGAGAGACAGGATAAAAATTTTATCCTGTTTTTGGTCCTGTTCCTGTTTGGTTTAATTTAATCCTGTTTGTAATCTAATCCTGTGAATAATTTTATCCTGTTTGGTTTAATTTAAATAAAAAAATTATTTATCCGCCGCCAGGATAAATATATATATGTATATATATATATATATATATATATATATATATATATACATTTTGGCGACCAGGATCCTCCTCTAGCGCTTGGCTCCACATGCCTCAGCTGCCCCTGTGACGCATATCATCCCCGCTGGCCTGACAAGGTTCTGTCACTGCTGGTCCAGCGCACACATATCCGAGCATCTCAGGCGTCGCACGTGAGTCAGTCGGCCCCTGCCCAGATGTACAGCCACCTTGATGAGCTCCAGCCCTGCCGAGCGCCGCCTCTTACTGCCCTGCCAAGCAGCATGCAGCGTACGCTCTCCTGCCTGGTCCGGTGCCCAGCAGCATGCAGCGTACGCTCTCCTGCCTGGTCCTGTGCCCAGCAGCATGCAGCGTACGCTCTCCTGCCTGGTCCTGTGCCCAGCAGCATGCAGCGTACGTTTTCCTGCCTGGTCCGGTGCCCAGCAGCATGCAGCGTACGCTCTCCTGCCCGGTCCTGTGCCCGTAGCGCCGCTGGTAGCGCCGCTGTCGGCCGGCCGGTGGCGCCCTCTTCTCCCGCGGCCGGCGCAGCTGGCGAGATGATTTGCTTTCCGAACTTTAGCTCCGGACTGCACATATTTTCATTCTGAATGTTTCCATGAAGCAAGCGTTCCGTATGATATCATAGCGATTTCTTCGGGGCATATATGCAGCCATAAGATAATACTACAGGCAGGCAGCTGAGGCATGTGGAGCCAAGCGCTAGAGGAGGATCCTGGTCGCCAAAATATCCCCAGTTTGCGGTGTGTTAGAAAAAAATCTCACGACAGGGGGAGGAGGAGGCTGGGCCCTCCCAATGCTGACTTGAGCCCCTGCGTATGCCCTCCTGAGCTCGCTCAATGTACATGAACAAAGAGAAAACACTGGGCCAAATAAATGCAGAACAATTACTTACTATTGGTGTATGAAGTAGTAGCTGTACCTATACACATTGCTATTAGTATCGTGTAAATGCTGTACCGAAGGGCATGCTGAAGGTACCTAATGTACCTACCATGTTTTACTTTCATACGTCAACTCCTTCATATATCAAGCCAAACTGTGAATGTTCTGACAAGTTTTTCCCAATGATAACGCCTAGATTGGGATAAAGAACAAATGACTGTAATATGCGGTAACTTTTAAAAGTATCTACAGAGTGACCCAGATAAAAGTTAACGCATGTTTTCTCCAACAATGGATTTGTCGCATATTCATGGCTTTGGTGGTTATAAAACACAATCAGCGAGAGCAGTAGTTATCAGTGATCCCTTACTAAGATTAACTCAGGTGTTCTACTGTGAATTGCATTGCAAGGGAAGGCAGCTCACATTACCTTGTAATGGGAAGTCATACCTCCGCGGGGTAACAACTGAGTTTACAAAAAAATTAGAAATCCTTTTAATATCGAATGCGCAAATTCAAGTGTTCGAAATCTGGGGAGAAATCTGGGATGAAGGGTAGTTTAGGTCAACCTTTTTGACTCTCTCTCCCCCACCTCCCACCCGCAACCACTTTAAGAAAGTGACTGCTGATGGCTGTACATCGTCTGCTTCTTTTCGCCGCCATGTTCAAGACGAACGAACGAACATGTGCAGTAGCTAGGGCACCATGAGAAAGATGATTGTATGGGCTTGCATGGTCATTCCTTTGAAAAGTCTCATTATGATACAAACGACATTATGGGTGTCTGAATTCTTTCAATGTTTTCGTGATCACCCGCTAAGATGATATGCCAATCGCCGCTACATTGTTTTGCATAAGTCGTCGTACAACAAGGGCAAAGTCAGGTGACCTTAAAAGGAGGCGCCAAGCATTCTGCTCTGCTAATTAGTTTGTGTACACTGCGCCATGTATCCTTGACTGCCAGTCAGATTGCTTCCTTTAGCTATCAAAAGTTTCTCCAGTCGCAATTGACAAAAATCATGTAACCAATGCATTCTTTGCAATGGGTATTCCCAGTGATGCTCTGCAGGTTGTCGATTGCCGTAGCCTCGGTGGAAGCACTGACAAGACATAGAAGGGGTTACTGGTGCTCGTTTGTCAGTTTTGTACGTGGTTGAGTCCATGACTGACGTTTCAAAGCTGTTATGTCAAAGTAAAAAAAAATTTTTGGATAGCGTTTAGTATTCGTAGCAATATTTAGGCAAGGAGAGCAGAGAGGTCTCAGTAGCAAACCTACCAGATTTAAATTAAAAATTCCCCGCATTCAATACCGACACGAAAACAGTGTTTATGGATCGTAGTTATCTCGAGATGGGTGTTCGCATCCATTATATCATACACCATGTTCTCTGGATTCACTAAGAACAAAAGTGCCACCGCTAAACCTGTGTTACCTCCCGTTTTCCTTTAAAGCACTGCAATAAAAATGTTTGCATAATATGTGTATGTGAATGGTGGACATACGCTCTAAAAACAGTTTGTCTAACAAGTAGAAAATGTGTTCTACCGAGTGCAATCCATGATTATACCGCGTATGAGCCTGAGTGGGTGAAAAAGACCCCGTATATAATTCCAGCGCAAATAACCGCGTGATGGTGCGACAAAACATTAAGTTCTCGCTGCGCCTCCTGCTCTGAATCCCTGGCTCCAGAGCCGTAATCGAAGTTTGATTTCTCGAGCTGAAATTACTGGGTCAAAAATCATTGCCTGATGACAGCAAAACGCACCATTCAAAACCAAAGTTAGCTGTATTGACAGTACTAACACCAAACCAGAGTGGAACAGTGAGTTGACACCGTCGAACACACCTGAAGTCCCTCTCGCACTCTACACAGTACACCGGCTTTCCTGCCTCGCCACACCCAGCAGGACAGACCGTTTACGACAATGCACCCACCGCTGACAACGAGATTGATGCGGCTGACGGCCGACCAATGTCTCCCGAACAGCGCCTGGGTGTGGGCTGTCAAACGCACTGACCCATCCTCGCGGGAGCCCCACAATACCCTTTACGCGCCACGCTGATAGTTTGGTGCTTAACAGCACGTCGACGCCATGTTGCGCCGACTCGCCGTGCTGGAGCGCAGCTGTTCCAGGGCCTCGGCATTTTGGCTGACCGTCCGGTAGTCCGACTTCAGGGCCTAACTGAATATTTCGGTGGGATGGTGACAGTGTGTCTGTGCGCTCAAGTGAACGGCACAGACACAACTCAATGCTCACTCGCACGGCTCCCCAATACAGTTCGAAGTCAGAAACCCACCTTGGACCACCCTACTCCGATGTCTCACAAAACTAAAAGACGAGGTCCATACTCAGTAAAAATTTCGCGTTAGCTCCTGCTCCAGATTTATGTGTTAAAAAGTCATTTTTGAAATCTGGTATATCATGCCGGAAGTGTTCTGTGATCAAGGCCCTTGGTAAGCGTGAATTGCCACGGAAGCCCTCACGCTGCAACCTCGGCAAGGCAATGCCGTTGCATGGGCACGTCTTTACCAGCAGATGCTGGCGTGTGATATGATATTTAAAAAAAATAACGTATCGCTATTTTAAATAACGATATCGTCACCATATTTAAAAAGAAACCTTTTATTTCAGCTCTGTTTTGCTTTCAATTCCCGGCTTATTTCAAGCGGCTAGAGTGCATGAGCGACCACAGTACATTGCGTGGTCGCCACTGTGAACCTGCGTGTGGTGTTGTAAAACACTGCCGATGATCGAGGAGGCCGTGTATCAAAGCTTGCGCCGGAACATTTCCCTAGGTACTTGAAGACCCCGCGGCCTGGACCGTGGCTTGGCCACATGAGTTGTGTCACCGAACAAAGATGTCCTTATATGTGGCGCACTGGACCATAAAGTGGTGATATGAATAACCGCACAATAAAATATCAAACATGATACGACAGCGCCTTTTTCTTGAATTACCGAACAGGCACACGCGCCGAGTGTTCGTGTAGAAGTTTCACTGCCATTCCGAAACATGAGAGTAAAGGAAAGAGCAAACCGTAAGCTACACCTTCCGTTGCAATGCTGAGAACGCGATAATATTGAATTAGTGAATCCACGTACCTAAAATATGCCACTAATGCCAACCCGACAGCAATTATTGCTCAATTTCAACCATCAGTTCATCTGTCAGCAAATTACGGAATGATTGACAGTTGTGTTTGCGCAATTGCCACTTGAAAAACGCTGCATGCGTTTTAAGAATCTGGATATCTATAAGTGTGACAAAAAAAATTGTCCTGGCATTGTTCTTCAGAACCCAAGGTAGTGCAAAGTGGTCGTACACTGCACCAGTGGAAGGAAAACATCATGTTCTCTTAAACTCAGTCAGAAAAGTGTCTCCCTTTACCAGCCTGCAATTAATTTCTGGCCGCAAAAACAAACGATACCACCTCGAGGGAACAAAGCATGTTAAATGAAACCACGTTACGACGGCGTTCAAATGGCAGCACTCACGACGTCAAGCACTCGCACTCGCGAGCACTCGCGAAAAAAAATGATCCGTCTATCGCATTACCTTACATCTATAATTCACAAATTCCAGTAACATCGAGAACACGGAGCACTGGCGAGCACCGCTGATCTGTTGCGCGCCACGGAGCACGAAACTTGTCTGCCCGTGTTGACCATTACATAAACGGGCACAGCCTGAAGCTGCGGACTGGAAGTCGGAACGAGCCTATGAGACTCCTTCTCCTGATGCCAGATGGCAGCACGTGCTTGGCCGTTTACGGCGTCCACGACATCTCCCATGCCGCTCAATGGAAGCTTGGTTTGTTATATCTTCTTGTACCAGAACAAGATGTGGTCTCCATTCTCCGGATAGACATCGTCGACTCCTGCAATCAATTAGACATGCGTGAGCCTTAGCCCTACGGAATGTTTTCACTTTCGTCCGGCCAAGGGTGATCTCAGAATCCCTTAGGTCTCGAAAACCAAGTAAGCCGGAGGCATGCGTAAAACGGCATTGTAAAGCTCTCGTCAAACTGCGTGCCATAACGTGTCTGTACAATGATGAATGCAACCTTTAACAGGGTGAACCAGTGAAAAGGATCACCTGAGTACTTTATAAAACCTTCCTGTTGACTCAATAAATGGGCATGCTTGGAAAACGCTGAGACGGGCACGAGTGGAGATCGACGCATGTGAGTGGAATATCATGTCAGGTCAGAATAGGCGAAGGCCCGTCCCGTCCGGCATTGGCCTGTCCGGCTATATCAAGATCTTAAGAGGCACATCACAGAGGAGAACAAGATTGGAACGGCATTCCAAAGCCGAAATACATGTGCCATTAAATTTTTAATTGTGGGTCTCTAAACGGTCAGATTTCAGCCTAGCTTGATCTTGGATGCTATGCACGTGCCAAGACGACGTGATATGGTGACCTGACCGTGATATAGATCAAAAGGAGACTCTGGAAAATCTCTTTGAAATGCTTTTTCTGCGAGAAATTAGTTAAACACAGGAAAACTTTCCACTTCAGAGCTCAATTCCGCCGACGTGGCTTCGTGCAGGAAGGTACAAATCGTGAACCGTCAAAGCCAGAAAACTTCAAACTTTTCAGACATGCGTAAAATGGTTGAAATTTAGGCACACAGCATTTCAGGACCGTGGTGAGAACCGTTCAGAAGTTATTCCGGAGACCCTTCGGGACATCTGAGATCCGCTCAGAGGGCAAGGACTTACTCAGTGAATGTTATTGCAGTTTTGCTGGGGAGCGGAAGAACTTCTTTGACATAAACAAGAAAGGCCATGGGGTTTTCTGCATGATGAATTCAGAGTTCTTATGCTGTTATCAACCTTCACGATATCAGAACGTGGTGGTTAAACGACGGTATCAAGCAAACCCTGGTCAAATTGTCAACGCTCAGTTATATAATCAATACAGAATATTGGCAATGTCAGCAATGTTTGCTTAATAATGTCATTTCACCAGCACCTCCTGGCATATTAAAGGCTGGTAACTGCCACCATAAAAGTATAAACTCATAACGAAGTGAGCCTCGTCACGTGCGACTCGGGTTGACCTAACTGAAGAAACAGATTACAAAGAACTCGGGTAAAATTGCAAAGAGGCAATCAGGCCATAGGATGCACGCAGTCCCTATTGCAAGGCGTGACACTTCTGCCCCGAAGTGTCAGCGCAGGACACGAGGACATCGCGAGATCCGCTCGCCAATCTCCACACAACAGGCGGAGGTGTGACTTACTCCCAGTCTACTAAAATTGACACAAGAACTGCGCCGATCGAACCCGCCTTGAAGCTAGCTTTCGGTAGCTTCGGTCGGCTAACGGACTACTCCATCCTCTGACCATGCCCTCGCAGTGCCTGTCTGGTCAGGGACACGCCGCGCACCTGTTGCGGACAGGGCGGTGTTGGCAGGCTTGCTGAGCTTGTCCGGCGGTGCCGAGAGCTTGTACAGCAGCCAGAACAGGTAGCCGACCTTCTGCTCGTGGTAACCACCGATGGTGTGGATGTAGTGGCCGTTGGGCCAGACTGTGGCCGAGAATCTGCCCGGAAACCGTCCACAACGCTAGATCGATACGGTATGCGAATGTGGAGTTCATACATGGAATGTGCCACGGCCAGTTAGCAAAGAGCATGATTGGCCACGAACAACATACCAAATAAAAGGGCATAGCGGTACATGCCTTGGTTCCAACACCTTTCCTGCGCACATCGCCAATAAAATGAAAGATACCAGATGCAGAGCAGCGAGAAACACAACTCGGCGCCTGGAGTCACTAGAACAGACAACTCAACATCGAGAAGCCTTCAATCTTGGCCAGAAAATGTGCCCACCATACCCAACCCCGGAGGAAATCATGTTTCGGACCATCGTCCTGGTAATACATACACAGCGCCTCGGCCAGTAACTTGGCGGGCCGTCGGCAGGTGTGATTAAGTGCTAAGATGATTGGCTTCCAGCCAACACTTGTCACAACCCAAATTCCTCCCCTCGGGACTGCTGGGATTTGAATTGAAGTCTTCTGATCATGAGTCAAGATCTCCACCAACTGAGCTAGCCGGGAAGGGCAGCTGTTCCGGTAGTTCTAGTAGGTCCAGTTCCACCATGCATTCCTTCCTAAGACTCAATAACACTTGACGATCGACGTAGAGTTAACTGGCCGGAACGTTGTGTGCGTAATATTTTCTTACAGACCAGAGGAAGACAGTAGTCAAAACAATCATTCCATCCGCGACATTAATTATGTGTCTCAATCCTTCCATGAAATTACACCCAATCCTACTACCAACAAAATTTTGACCCACCTGACCGGCCCGACAGCCAACTAAGGCGCAGAATCTTAGGCTCACTTACTCAAAGTTGCTGTCCCGCTCAGCCGCCAGCTTCATGCAGTCGAACAGACTGGTGTTTTTCGGCACTGTCAGCTGCTGGCTAAACGTCTTGTTTACTTCCGGCCCGATCCAGAGCCAGAAAGTGAAATTGATGAGCTCGGGTGGCGGCGGGATCACTGTAGGTGGCGCTGCCGGCGGGGCGGCGCTCGACGGCGGCGGGCTGGCCCCGTCGCCACCTGTAAGTAAACACCATCTTAAGTTGTATAGTACTCTTGATCGAGCTCTACAACTTCCAACCTGACAGAGTCATCAGTTTTGAATGGTTGACCACTACGAGCAACCTCTTTGATGAATGCTTTGGTGTTAGTGACTTCTGATGCCCTCAACCATCCGGCTCCACCAGCGGCAGTGGACATCGGTGGCCTCAGGGACTTATCCTGCTCCGTCCTGCCAGTGACAATCGGTATGTCCTCACATGACCTCGCATGACCTCACCTGCCCCGCCCTGCCGGTGACAGTCGGTATAACCTCACATGACCCCACATGACCTCACCTGCCCCGCCCTGCCGGTGACAGTCGGTACCACCTCACATGACCTCACCTGGCCCGCCCTGCCGGTGACAGTCGGTATGACCTCACATGACCTCACAGGACCTCACCTGCCCCGCCCTGCCGGTGACAGTCGGTATCGGTGACGTCCAGTAGGGAGCGGCCTGCCAGCACCGGCAGCACCTGGGTCGTGTCGAACAGATTGCCGAAAGAGCCGTCCTGCTGCTGGTGCGACATCAGGTAGGCCACAGCGGCCGACTCATTCCAGCCCGGCTCCTTGCCCACGCGTAGCGCCTGTGGGGCCACACTCCAGGTCAGACTGATCGGGCATCTGAACCAGGGCACCTTGGTAGAGGGTCCGACAATACAATGGGCTGACGAGTTCCCGAGCTCCAAGAAGAGGAGCGATACGTTACAATTTGTTCGACAAGAAGAAAGGGAAGTACAGATTTGCCACAAAAACTCTGGTTTTTCCTCCACGGTGTTTTTTTCGTGCTTTCTTCGAATTTGACTGGGGTGGACTCATTGGGATGGGCTCATTGGAAGCATGAGATCTCGCCCACATGGCTGCATATGACGCATTATCGCCCCAGAATCCCAAATCCCCAGGACCACTCACACAGCCCTGGACAAAGATCAACCGTCGGACCAGTACACCGGGCTCCGCAGCGCCCGGGTACACGGTCAAGCGTCGGTAGGTTATATTGTATGACAGGTATGTCATGCATGATGTCATAGACATCAGGTAGCTAATACGTGTTCGGTATGCATTACTTATATGACGTCAGGTATTCGCATGGTCGACATCATAAAAAGGCCCATGGCCGCACCGTGTTGAGAAGGTAAATGAATGATGTCCAGTCTTTTAAGAAATTCTGATCGACATATGGCAATGGAAGGGACAGGAGTCTACCGTGACTTAAACAGGCAAGGACACTGCCTTTCGTTTCCTTCGCTTGATTTGCTATGAACGCCTCAGAAAAGTAAATGGCATAGGAGCAGTGCACTTTATGCTGGATTAATTACTGCGTAAGCCCAGCTCAATGGAGAAATGTCCGTTCGGGAGAATGCTTGCATCCGAATGTTTCTTGCTAAAGCAACTAATTTATCAACGCCTTGACTGACACAGCGTGATGTCAAGGTGTGATGCCATTTTGGTCCAGCGCAAGGGTCCAGGTGGAACAAAGGAAGCAATAAGGCCTTGTTGTGCGCCATGTGTCACGCCACTGATTTCAGCTGTGCGCACTGGACTGCTATTGGCAAAACAAGCTCCACGATCACCAGCACAGCCCAGGGCGTCGGACGGAGCACGCTCCGTTGACCACGCTAGGTAACCTTCGCGCTGCATACATGTGGTCCCTTCCATCTGTGTTTTTTTCCGGCACAAGTCGTATGATGACATGATTCTTCGTGTTAGCAACACCCGCATACCCCATCATGCACACCAATAATAGCGGTGAGACCATTTCACATTTGGCACGAGCCAGGTTGCACCGGGAGGTCCTGAGGGACTATGCATGCGGGCAGCCAAGTGAATCTCTCAGCGTGCGTTGTTCGTAATGCAAGGGACGCGAGAGCCTGACGAAAGTCGTATTCCGACCGTGGCCAGCTGCGTGTGAAGAACAGCCCCTGTTTTGTGCTCGGGAGAGCGTGCACCGCGGGTGGTGACGATTCCAGCGGTGACCACCACCGTCTGTACACGGTGCCGCCCGTTGCTCGGACCGACTGCCCCCCCCCCCCCCCCCCCTCCCCTGGCTGCCGACCGATCCGGGGCGCGGCTCGCCCACCTGCACGGCCAACAGCGACGAGTGGAAGTTGCCGAAGCCGCCGTCCGGGTTCTGGCGCGTTGCCAGCGCTCGCAGGGGCCCGGCCAGGTGACGCTGGACGCTGCGGGGGCTGCTGTCCGCCACGCAGCGCAGCGCCAGCACCGACAACGACAGCGTGTCTGCAGCAGCGCAGCGTCAGGTCGCTATAACAGACCGCAGAAGCTGGGCGGCCCTATATCACAGGGACACAGCGGTGTCCGATCATAGCGACTTGGCGGCGCCAGAACAGCGTAACAGGTTAAAGCAACACAGACAGGCAGCGCCAAGTCATGGCGACGGAGCAGCCCAAGGTCACAGCCACAGGTCACAGTTACGGTGCGACACCAGACCATAGCAACAGAGCGGGGTCGAGTCGCAGAAACAGAACAACACCAGGCCACTGCGACAGAGCGGCCGGAGATCGCAGCCATCCGACGCGGCACCGGCAGCGACACTCGTGTGACGCCAGCAGGTCCTATGCAAATAGCATGGGGATTGACGCGTATAAAGAACGCTATGCAACGCAGGTGTATACCGTACTAGCCGCTAAACGCCGTCATCTTCCACAAGGACCGCGCGCCTCACTGCAAGCAGGGCTGACGCTCCGCTGACCTGTCCCGTGCAGGTCTTCACTGTCATGGGTGACGCCGATGAGCTTGCTGTAGCTGCGTCGCCGCACGGGCGCCTCGGCGGCGCAGGTGGCCAGCACAACGAACGCCGACTCGTAGTCCATGACGCCCGGGTGGTGGCGCAGGGTCGCTGCAAAACCAGTCGGTGAGGTGATATCGGTCGCATGCGCATCCGCACCAGACGGCGGCGGGGACAACACGGATGCCAGCGTTGGATCAAGCTCTCATGTGTATCACACAGATGCCAGCCGTAGACGAAAGTGGCGTGTTCGTGTCGCAGATGCCGGCGCTATACTAAGATACTGAATTCAGTCACGCAGCTGCCGCGGACAGAGCACAAGACCACCTGGCTCACCGACACATCAAAACCTGAGGTTACGTGCATTTTGCGCGTATCAATGTGAGGCCAGACTGGTTGTACGCGGCATACACGTGAAGCGACGTGGACGCATGCATCTAATACAAATGTGAAGCACTGAACAAAGCATAACTATGTATTTGTGCAAGGAATAAGAGAAGCGATTACGGATTGTTTTGCTTTAGCCATTGAAATATGTCTAATGCCTTGAACCACAACAATGCGCATGTGAACATTCTGTGCACGTGTTCCATATCACACCACGCTGACTACAATGTCACGCCACTTGACAGCACTACCAGATCATTGACTTAAGTAGATTGATCCATATAGGTATAAAGCTGGAACTAAGAAAACCATTTTCAAGATAGTTCCCTGGTGTTCCCAGCACGTCCTTCCAAGGCTTCAAACCAAGATGCATGCCGTCACAGAAACGTCACACGAATTCTGCCTCCTCAATGGTCATATTGTATTCAAGGTGAGTACAAATATAACCACTGACTTATACGCGTGTGGAGTACATCAGCACCAGCAGTTCTACTAACTACGACAGAAATGAGGCTGCAAATGGAATATGTTAAGACTATTGTAATAACCAAGAGTGCGAATGCGAGTGAAAATGCAAGATATCGTACAAATATGCAAGGACACGCCGAGAAGCGGTCAAAATACTCACGCATGAACATACGCAGGTTCTGTTCACGCGCATCAGGTAACAGGCCACCTTTCGGCGAGTTGAAGTGATACAATAAATCAGTTCGTCCGCTCCAGTGGCAATTCTGACGTGGCCAGTCTAACAGGGAATCTGACGTCCTTCAAACGTTCCGGGACATAATCAAACGATGACGAACTGAGAAGCAGATATTCTAAATTGTGAACGTTTGTTGTCTAGAGCAGTCCCTTAAACTTAAACGCGTGCCAGTAGTTGCAAGTGAGCTTTTCCCACCATATCTGATGTTTGCCCCAACATCTTCAACTGTGGAACGTGCCTTCTAACTCAGCTAAGAATGCGGATTATTGAGCTGCTTTAAATATCCACTCATAAACTGATGTGTGTATGCAGTGCAACCCGGTTTTCCGAATCCACTTTGTGCCTCTACTAGTGGCTTATAGCAATACACGTGCAACACCGGCATTCACTTCCCCACCAGTTTCATTCTTTGACTGCTCTAGATCTTCCCTGTTTTGTTTTTTCCGGAAAATATCTATACATTTTCATTTTGCAGGCTTTGTGAAAAATCTCAATACCAGTCTGGCATGCACAGTTACGTTAGATCTGGTTAGTATCAGCATTATCGCACACCACGCCTGAACGCCTTAATACTGCCATATCTAGGTAAGAGTACTGGTGTTGGATAACACCCAATGCTTCACTGTCCCCGCACCAGCAGCTAGCATGCCGGTGCCAATGGAACATGAGTGGGCTGATTTGTGCTGGTACGCCACCGGATTAAGGCATGTTTACCAGAATGAAACACATTTCTGCTGCTGGCAAGGGTCCCGTTAGCGTCCAGAGCTTCTCATTGGTTGAGTTTGTAGGACCCCAATCAATGAAAATTCTACTCTACTGATCTATGTTCCATCGGCCCACCAATCTCATGTTTCTCATCTCTAAATTACACTCTCAGATTAGTCCAGTGCGACACGTTATATTTTCCATGACAATTAATGTCAGCCCATTGAGTCCAATTTGACATAGTAGCATATTAAGTTCAGCAAAGGCAAGATCGTTTCTTCCGCCTCGTTTGACGTTTAAGTCTGTTATTTATTGTATCCGCATGAGCTACTCAGTTCTGAAAATTCGATACGAACTTGACCCGTGTTTTTCTGACGTACCCAATGCGCCAAATCCCCGACCTTCCATTGAAATATACGTGATTGATAAGTAATCCATTGCTTTATGTGATCTGTCAAGAGTTCTAGCACCAATGAAACCCCGCGGCCCTAAATTATTATTACCCATACATCAAAGCGTGTCGATGAGACATTATTGGTAGTTTCATTCCGCTTAGAATAAACGGTAGAATGGAAAGATAGGTGTGATATTTCGGCTATGAGTTGTAGAAACCAATGATGAATGAATAAACGAGTGAAATGAATTTGTCTTGGTAAAGGGATAGAGCCGAATATCACATCTATCTCTTCATTCTGCCTTTTATTCTACGTGGAATAAGGCCCTTAATACCGTCTTATCTACATGCATGATGTTCCGCACAAATGCACCTAACAACTTACACCATAGCATGTGGCGGAATGGTGCCGGTGTTAGGCTGGAAAGACTAAATATTTACTCACAAGTTCGCTTACTAGCAACTAGACGTTGCATATTTCCACACATTGGCCCTTGTTTTATATTATCAGCTCACAAAATACCTTTTCAATGTCTACAGCAACATTTGTCGGAACCTTTTGGGAGCATATGCCAGTTGAACACATCTACTTGTGCAGCATTCAGGCCATCGGAACGGGTGTTACGCAACCCACAGAGGATGGAAATCGGCCGTCTTCGGTACGTGACATACATAAGCAAGTGAGAGAGACCCTGGCTTTTACTCCAATGAGCCTGCCGTCCGATCAGATTAATGTCCGGAGTTGAACCCTTGACGCTCGAGTCTCTCAGTGCAATGCTAAATCGATGCGGTTCCTCAAAGCGCGCAAATGAGGCCCCAGGCGGGTTCGTACAGTTTGGTGAGCCGTTGATCGTCCGCAAAGCTTCGTCGTTGGAATGATTTTGCGCTCCTTCTCGCTGGAATGGCTTCAGTGTTGCGATAACTTCAAACGGATCGTAATGGCTTAAGGACGGGCTGGGTATCCCAGTCTACGAGCACGGTCCGGGTATAGACGTACGCTTTACCCCAGAATATGCATGCTTAGTGACTTCGAGACCCCATGCGGAAACCATCCCTGCGGGGTTGTTTGCTGCGCTGCGCGGCCAAGATCTGATGTTTCCGGCATATGTGACCGACGGCAGAACGGGCTGGATGTCGAATGCATCAGGCGTACCGGGTGTTCTCGCTGGTGCGGTATTCCACGTTCATGCTGGCGGCAGGTATTTGACTGGAGGTCCGGACGGTCCGCGGGTCGAGCCACGCCGAAGCTTAAAGCTTGGCCGCCGCCGACCACGGCCTTCCCAGCACCAGCGCAGTGCTGAATGATTGATGACGAGGTCGGCCTTCCATCAATAATCCCATACTGTTCATTCATTACGGCTGTGCAATGAAGAATAATGCAGCAGCCAAGCTCAAACTTCTAGGCCTCCAATACGCTACAGAAAGTGGCCGCGTGTTTTCCTGCCGTTTGATGGGGCTTCGCTGATGTGCGGTGTTAGGGTCTTGTCGCATATGTTACAGTTTCCTAGATCTTGGATGACTTTCACCTAACAAAAATATACAAAGTGCCCACACAGACCACCAAGCAACATTATTCGTGTCGATAACAAATACTCAGCCCGAACCACTCTATCCGTAAGGTGAAGTAGGACTCCGGTTCGTTACATCGCACAAGGTACAAAAGAACCCCGTGGTTCCTATTGTCTCGAGCAGCGCTGGCTGTCGTGCTTCTGTGCGGGTCACGTCTGATCGCTCCACCCCCCCCCCCCCCTTCCTCTGGCGGCTCCCAGCCCAACCGCGAGGACACGTCATTAATCACCTTCTCATCAGCTGTAGAAGCGTTCCTGATAGCTAAAAAGAGGACGCGCATCGCCGTGAATGGTTCGCTCCAGTTCCAGGCGCCATTTTTGGCCGAGTCGCTTGCCGACAGTAGCCCTCAGTGCTCTAGCGGTCGTCACGGCGCCGGCCGCGGCTCAGGACCGGGCGAGCAGCGCCGGCCGCGGCTCAGGACCGGGCGAGCAGCGCCGGCCGAGGCTCAGGGCCGGGCGAGCAGCGCCGGCCGCGGCTCAGGGCCGGGCGAGCGGCGCCGGCCGGGGCTCAGGACCGGGCGGAACGGCACCGGCCGCGGCTCAGGACCGGGCGAGCAGCGCCGGCCGGGGCCAGCAGCGTGCTGCAGCTGGCTCGTGCCGCGGATCCGCTGCTGTAGCACCCCTCCATCCGTCACGCGGCCGCCAGCCGTCCGATCCTGAGGCCGCCGCCGTTCAGAGCGACCCGCTTCATTCAGTCGAGAAACGGACCGCGTCCGTCACCAGGAGCACCCATTCATTCGGCGCTCGTGTTCTCACGGCTTCATTTAGCCGGGCCGATGAGGCTGATTCGTCTCGGGCCTCGGGCGGGGACGACGGAAGCGCCGGCCCGCGCCGGCTGACGGGGCCAATGTGTCGGCACCGGCCGCACGGGCGACGGTGGCGCGACACCGGGTCATTTCCCTCGGGCGACTTATGATGCCGGCCGGCCTGACCGATGACAAAGCACCGGCCGCGGCGTTCGGCCCGCGGCTACGCCAGCTCCATCTGGTGACCAGCGGCCGCGGGCCGATCACACTGACTCATTGTGTTCGCAAGAGCGGTGGTCAGCCACTTAGTCTCTGGCCAGTGGTGTAGAGGAGCACAAGAGTCTGGGATGGGCAGAGGCTAACAGGCGACAAGTGCCGGCATATGTGGAGGGACGCCTGGGTTAATACACGTGGACGGCCGCGCCGAATCAGCATGGCTGGAACAGACGACTGCCCCAGCAGTGGTGGACACTCGTCTGCGCCGGTACAGGTGAACAGACGGCTGTGTCAGCACAGGCGGCATATTTTAGATGTTTGGTGACTGAGTAGAGGCAGACAGACGGTCTGAGTCGGTAGAGATGGACAGCGTCTGGGGAAGGCAACCTTGGACAGACATCAAAGGCAAGTAGAGGTCCGGGTGGCAGAGTTGGGCAAACGCTCGGGCCGATGTGATGAGAGGTGGTGAGAGTGTAGGAGGTGAGAGGTGAGAGGAGGTGAGAGGTGGGCAGATGTGTAGGCCGATACAGGCGGATAGATGTCTAGTGCCAGCGAGAAGACACAGTCGTATGTACGAGGATGCATAGAATGTATTGGAGTTAGAATACCAGATGCGCCGAAATCGCGTGGGTCTTTACAGTCTTTTGTATTTTGTGGGTTTTAACGGTGTTTTAGTGATTGGGGTCACGTATGAGCCGGCCGAGATAAAGAACGGTAGGGGAAGGGAAGGGAGAACACTTCCAAGGGCATACAAAGCTCCACCCCGCCAGTGCGAACTACAGATGAGAGAGACAGCGGCAACACAGAGGAACATGGAGCCTGCGTTTTTTTTTCTGTTGGCATTGACCGAAGGTCAGCATGGATCTATGTAAAATAAATGAGAAAAACGATATGCTGTCACAATTTTTATTAATGGGAATAGAGCGGTGCAGTGAAGGCTGATTGATAACGGTGCCATTGGTCCGGTCGTCTATCAGGGAGTCTTAGCATGCCAGTTGGGTCTGCAGATAGAAAGGCGTATGTCCAGCAAGAAGTGAACAACAGCCCAACTGCGTGGAGGTCAATGACAACAGTCGTCAGGCCCTGATGCTGTGCGGTACAGTATCAACGGAGGGGGGGGGAAGGGCAGTCAGCACAGCACAGTGGTGTCAATGTGTGTAGGTGAATGTGGGCACCAAACACTGTGTTGAGTGTGATGATAAGTCATAAACAGCAGAAAAAACAACAACACTCGTCAGGGTTCGCCATCGTGGTTCGACACCAATAGATACTCGTCATCCGCGCATCATCAGACACAGCATGCCTTCATGTAGGCCTATCCCATTGGGTATATCACAACACGGCGAATTGTTTCCTATATATATATATATATATATATATATATATATATATATATATATATATATTTGGACTATCGGCCACGCCATATTACACGGGGTTTTGTGAAGCTGTCTCCAACGACGTTAAATTCATACAACGAATACAACATATCCGGTAGAAAAATCTGGAAAGGAGAACTTGTGCAAGATCTTTCAAAGTTTTATCAGATGCTTTAAGCGTATAACTCACTAAGCATTCATAAGCAAGGCTGTTTTAAGCCCCTGAAAATATCGAGTCACCAAAAAAAGTTAACCCTGAAATGTTTCGGTACTATTTATCCATGACCTGCCGGTTTATAATCCCTAGGGGTAGAGTCAATATAGTAGTCAATCCCGCGCATGGCGAGCATCTGATGCGCTCACTATGCAGAAAATCAGCTGAAATACCTGGCGTAGAGTGCCACCTTCCCCGACTCTACGAAAGCAACATTCCATTTTTGCGAATCGTGCGCTGTATTCAAGAAACATAATTTTTCTTTCAACACGAGTCTAAGCGGTGCGCCACAATACGGCCCATTCCCTGCGCGCTGCGCAAGCGATCGCCGTCCACAGCTCGTCCCATCCCTGTCATGCCATCGCGATGGCAGGACAGGGATGGGACAGGCTGTGCCCAGCAGGCCGATGCATCGGCGCGCTGGACAGCCTGGCGCCGCGAGGACAGCCATTGCGCGGCGCCACTCAAAGTCCGGACGACAAACAGACCGGTTCAAACAGTGCGAGCGTTTCTCAACGGCTGCAGCGGGCGTGAAGAGGATTTCCGCGCGGGCGCGTGTGTTCGACGACCCTATACTTAGAGAGAGGATCTACATTTAACAATACTGAGGCGAACAACAGATGTGATGGAAAAAGCTCACTTGCAGCTATCGGTATGATATCAAGTGCAAAGAGCTGTTCCAGACAAACATTTATCTATTAAGTTATATGGTACTCAATGTGTCATGGCTTGATTACGTCGTGGAACGATTTAGGAAGTCAGCGTCGCTGCCAGACAGGCCGTGTCAGAATTGCCACTGGAGCGGACGGGCTGACTCACTTGTTGTAATTCAACTCGCTGCAGGGCGGCTTGTTTGTTGAAGCGCGTTAACTAAGGTGAACGTCGTTAAGTGCGCGTGCTTTGGCTCTTAAATTGTGTTCCTGCATATTTGTCCATGATGGCACGACTTCTGCTTGCATTCGCAATCTTGATTATGACGCTATTCTTGCTATTCGATTCCCAGCCTCGTTTCCGCCACAACTAATAGCACTACCCAAATGTTTGCATTATGATTCACAAAAGGCGCATCGTGTTTGAAACTCTCATTTCACGCGTAAAGCTGGCTGAAAATTAACTGTGGTCCGTCGATGTGACATTTCGTGCTGACGCACCAACACGAACAGCACGCACCAACAAGTCCGTTGTTTTATTTGTCTTAATCTTGCACACCATACGACCACTGAGGGGTCGGCATTGATGTGTTGTTTTTGTGATGTCATACTTCCCTGGGTGAATTCAAAATAGGCGGCGCAAAAAGTCCTTACAATATGCTCAGCAACCAGAGGATTGGAAGTCTTCAAAAGGACATAGCTGTGAACTGCAAGGAATGGTCTTAAAATGGCTATCCCGGGCGAAACTCCATACAAATGTGGAACAGTCCTTTTAAGAGCAATCAATCCGTGATGAGGTAAAAGCGAAAACGCAACAGATACGCGGAACAACCTATTATCTATGCCGTGATGAACGTTGCTCTGTATTTGATATTACAGTTTAGGCCAGGCTATACGCCCATGAGCAAAATGAAGTCCATGAAAGCTATAGTCCATGAAGTCCATGAAAGCTATGTCATAGCTATAGTGAGGCTCGTTGAAATGGAACAATATCCACAAAATGTTGCTGATAACCTCTTTGTTCCATGGTGCGGGCATAAATTAGATTAAGCAAGTGCATTTTTTCAAACTCGATTGCTCAAGTTGGGGCAACGGTGGGAGGTGTGGCCGGCGGCCCAAACAAAGCGCTAACATTGGACGCAAAGCCGTTTACTGCTTCATCCGCCAGTGGGAGGACCGAGGCAGATAACCAGGGGCCGACTATCATTAAAAATCACTTTAAGGCCTCTATTTGCAATCTATTCAAAGGTAGTGCAGGTAACGATCTAACAACTATTCTAACAATGATAAACCTGATAACTCTTCTAATGCCTAACCCCGATCTGTCTGACATTCTTGATGATTTGGGATACAATCGACATATGCCATGGATGCATGACATTCATTGGCATGGCAAAGGTAGCGATAAAATGGCTATTCTTGACGTTTTGTAAAACAAAATTCCTGGCTAGCGGAAAGCTTTGAGCATTGTTTTGACGTTCTAGAAACATTATACTGCTAGTGCTACGAGATCTCTTGTTGCAAACAAGTCTTTAATACGACAGTGCAGATCCGCCTGGATTCTCCGGGACGGATCTCCCCACCATAGGTGGCTAACAGCCAACTTCATTACACTGCCACGTGCTCTTCTCGTTCCTCACCATGACATCGGCAGATTTGTCGGACGGCTCAGGATACTCCCAGCGTAATAGCACAATCAACGATGACAAATGCTGGTGTCGGGGCCTAGCGCCGTCCGTGCGACACCGGCAACGGCATCTGCGGGCCCGGCGCCGGCGAGGAGCCAGCTCGAGCCTGCCCATCGCCTCTCGGCGCCGGCGAGAAGCCAGCCCGGCCCGATCCACCGCCTCTCGACGCCGGTGAAAAGCAACCCGAGCCTGCCCGCCGCCCTGCGTCCGTCGGCGAGAAGCCAGTCCAGCCCTTTCCGCTGAGGGAATCCGGCTTGACCCTGCCCGCCGCCCTGCGCCCGTCGGCGAGAAGCCAGTCCAGCCCCTTCCGCCGAGGGAATCCGGCTTGACCCTGCCCGCCGCCCTGCGCCCGTCGACGAGAAGCCAGCCCAGCCCTTTCCGCCGGGGAATCCGGCTTGACCCTGCCCGCCGCCCTGCGTCCGTCGACGAGAAGCCAGCCCACCCCTTCCGCCGGGGGAATCCGGCTTGACCCTGCCCGCCGCCCCTCGGCCGCCGGTGTCGGCTCAGCAACTCACCTGTTAGGTCTCGGCCGTGGAAGTTGCGCACATCGAGGCATAGGCTCGAGAAGGCCAGCACGTACTCGGCGATCCGGCCCGTTGTCAGAGGGTAGTCCTTACGCCTGAGAACGTGCAATGCTCGGCTGTGATGAAAGCGCAGTCTTTGCGCCGTTTGGAAAGGAGGCGGTGTTAGCGGGGTTGGTAGCCTAGCCAGTCTCGTCGCCGCTCGAGGAAAAGGACACAGCGACAGTGCTGTTAGCACGCAGAAAAGATCTGTAAGAGACTAATGGCGCCAAATGATGCCGTAATTGTTGCGAAGACGGTTTTTTTGAGAATGCGTGGCTTTCATTTACGTGCACCGAAGTCGTACAGGACATGAAGGAGCGCAAAATATGAAACTGAGACCCTGAAAACACAATGTTTCCGTTTATGTTTTAATAGCACTAGGACCTTGCTTTAAGCAAGTGGTTGAGGGGGGGGGGGGGGAGCGAGCCATAACTTAAACTTCCTATTCTCAACGATCTTATCCCACTTCTAGCATTAGTTATTTGCAAGATCCAACATTGTGCCATCTATGGAATCAGCAAATGCATAGCGACATTCGCGGTCACTGTGGTGATGTAATGCTCGGGGGAGGTATACCATGTGTTATGTCGAAATTATCCTTCATTATTTACTGTTCCAGCCCACAATATGAGAGGCCCCCGAAAACAGCACTACGACAAAACGCAGCACTAAGTTGGAGGAAAAGGAGACAGGGTCGTCACAAATTAATACCAATCGATTTCCCTGCTCTAAACTTCAATTCTTGTCCTAATCTCCTTAATATAAAGTGATATATTACTAAACCTATCCATTCCCTTTGTTGCCTTGGCGATTTAGCGCCTCGTTTCCTTTGCTTCCTCAATTAAGCAATGCAATAACACAGTTCAGCGGTGAACCAACTGCGCAGAAGGCGACTGTTTAAACTTTGATGTCTAAGTGCAGCGGATCAGCAATAGTAAGCAATAAGCTACTCCGAAACGCGTCACCAGGCCGACGGGAAAGAAATCGCCAATGACACCGTGAAAGCAAGGCTCCATGTACGGCGCGAAGAAAAGACCGGTCATATATCTGCCGGTGGGAATTGCTGCGCTCCGGGGTCCTAAGACTTGCGATGCTTCAGTCCATACTTCTTGATGATCAAAAGCATCGATAGCGCAGTAACAAGAACCGCATTCAGACCAGTAACGTATTCATAAGTTCTCCATCGCTGAACCAATACCAATGAGACCCAGGATCAAACTCGCATTACATTTGTATAGCTTCGTTCCACTGACGACGTTCCATTTCGATTCTCTTTAAATTCTGGCAAGGGCCTCGAAGCTTTCAAGTGGATGACAGACTACACTCCCGTATGGTGTTGCCAATGGCGAAACAGCATAAAGAGGCCCTTGTTCATCATGCAGATGAACGGAAACATTTTGTTTCGGAAAATAATCGGTGCACGGTGTCGGTGCAATATTTGGACGTAAGCAGAACAGTGTGGGCGAGCGCTGTTGGCTTGACTCATTTCGATTCAATGCCTCTACGGAGGGAAACATTAAAAGCACCCGTGTCCACATAGGAAGCGAATTTTTCTATGCCAAAATCAAGGGGTCTTGACAGCAAAAGTTACGCAGAGTAAATTTCCGCCGCCATTGCCGCCCACCGTGTCATTGCTGAATACTACCTGGCCCACTGCAGCCTCGCACCAGTCCTCTAACTTCGTTTCAAGCTACATTTGCTTTCGGCTTGGGACGACGTTTAGTTTGTTTACAACAATGGAGTAGTTTGGAAGTCCCAATATGTCTCTACCGTGTCAGAGAGCGCTGGAAAAACATCGTAATAGAAACATTAAATATTACCGACTTCTTGGCGCTCCCTTCAGCACCACCCATGCTTAGAAATTCAATCCCGGTCCAATCAAATTCTTTGAAAGGAGTATAGAACGACTGGAAATACTTCGGTCTTGGAGACGATCGAGTGGAGGTGTGGAAGGAAATGGGTACCACCTCTCGGTCAAATACAAGGTCAGATATTTCAATAGTAGCCGCAAGTGACAGCCAATTCGCGAAACAAATTTGATGCCATGTTGAATTTGAAATTCACTATCAACCAATCATCTAGCTTTCGTCAATCTCCACAATATAGTGCTTCGATGAGTTCAGTTGTGCATTGATGCAGCTTGCTCGAGCATAGGTGTGCTTATGCCTTTGCATAATTACTAAAATACAACTAAAATAACCAAAACCGCTGACATAAGGTAAACAATTTAAACTATAAAATCATGCTTTTGATAGTCGTGGTCATAATTAATCAGCATGACAGCCACTCCACGTGCTGTAGCTACCATGGCTACGGGGGAAGTGACGTGACGAGAGGGCACTGAGACCGTCGGCGGCTCTCACGCGATCAAAGGCAACTGCTTTACTAACAGCCAGTCAAACATGATAAAGCAGGCAACATTCGGCAGTCACGCGTCAACCCCGCCGACAGCCGACAAGCACGATGCCAGCCTGTAGCCAAGCGTTGGACGTTCACCACTTACACCTTTCAGGTACGATCATGTACGGTTTTACTGTTCGCTCCCCGGGGCGAAGATAAGCGAGCACCAGTGATGGCGGCAACGACTGGCGTCGATCACCGTCGCTGCCGGCCACCCGCGTTGCCTACCCCTATACACGGAGAGGCATCGGGCGGGCTGCAACTCGGGGTCTGTGCTGTGAATGTTGACAGCCTTTTACGCTACGCGCATGTGCAGCGCATGTGCGAGTTACGGGTTATGACACGTTACGAGTGCGTGCCGGCATGCTCCTGGCAAGATTATGTTTGCTTTCCAGTTGAATATTGTCCCCCTTTTAGAGAACGCTGTTTGTTGTTCTTCGCACAGATTTTGCTTGAAGTGTTTCAAGATAAAAATCAGACGGCCTCGGGTCTGGGGAAGAAGGAAATCATCCGCATCACGGCGCCGACCCAGCACCCGCTCTCTAAAAAACCGTCCTGTAACGCACACTCGGATGCCTTAGACTGAGCAGAGTGGTGCCCCGTTTTTTCGACGCTACTCGAGTAGCAAGGATGAATAAATCACATGAGATTGTGAAAGCCAGCAAGCAGTTCTACACCTTGCCATTGCTAGACAATTCAAAAACTTCATCAAATCCGAACGTGGGAGCAACAGGGTTTTGGAAAACGAGGCTCTTTTTGGGGACAAGCCGACATGTTAGCCCAGAACATTGATGAATTACGTATTTATTTATAACATGACAGTGGGAGCTTCACATCAGCGCAGCTATACAACACGTGGTAGTGACGCTCACAATGAGCTTAACAGACAGGCGATCTACACGGCTTCTGTGGGGCCGCTGGACTGGGACGGCAATGGCCAGTGACTCCCGATTGACTGGGTAGGGCACGCTGAACTCGTTGCTGGTCGGATCCGAGAGCGACCTTGGACGGCAGCTGTTCATCTGCTGGCACACGGGGGCGATGCTGCATGGCTGCACAGCCCACGGGTCCGGGTCGTGTTATGTAAGGACCCCTGTCGGGAGCGCGTGGGGTGCGAGTTCCGTCCGTGTGCTTACACGAGGCCGGGCCTCCGCAGGCCCTCAGTACTCTACGGATGGTCTGCGATCCGTCACGGTGAGCTCATGTTCGCGGTGTCGGATGTCACCGGTGCATGTCAACAGCCGTGTTCCTTGCAACAGACTCCCATCAGAGGCGCGGTGACGCACGTCGGGGTAAGCAGGGAAAATGATCAAATTATTATGCGCCAAGGGGTGTGTAATCCTTGATCAACTACCCATGGGCACGTGGCCACATATATATTATATATATATATATATATATATATAATATACTCTCTCTCCCTCTCCCTCTCCCTCTCTCTCTCCTCTCTCTCTCTCTCTCTCTCTCTCTCTCTCTCTCTCTCTCTCTACGGACCGAACTCGCACCCCACGCGCTCCCGACAGAGTTCTTACATAACACGACCCGGACCCGTGGGCTGTTTTATATATATATATATATATATATATATATATATATATATATATATTGGAACATGCAGTGCTTCCAGAAGGCTTGAGGTGTTCGTCAGTAGTTGAACAAGAGATGTTGTGCGATGCTTGAACGGTGTAGACGCGACTTTGTCCCCGTCTGTGAGAAGCGTGACCTTCTCTCGCACAGTCGATGCATAAGCAAGTACTAGCAGCATAGCCATGAATTGTCATGACTTTGGCCGCCCTCCACCGCCAGCCAATTTGAATTTGAAAACCTTCGGGTACGCTTCACAACGCCCACTGATAGCTGTCAGTGGCAACCCGTCCACTTTGCATTTCAGCTGTTTTTGCAGTAAATATCACTACCTCCTAATTCACTGACAAATACTACGAACACAGGTGATGTAAGTACATCATTTCCAACGGGCATTTGACCTGTTCCATCGCGTGGTACCTCACGACGCTGAGGTCAGGCCTCCGACTAGGTCATGGGAGCCTGACCTCGGCTACGGTCAGCAGAGACGTGCCGTCGGTCCACACCCGAAGACGGGGTCGTCCACACCACTCCGCGACCGTAGTGGGCGCTCTTACCCCCACATGTCCACCAGGAAGTGGATCTGGAGCTGCTTGAGCGTGAGCTGGCGCTCGACTCCGGTGAGGGCGCTGGAGTTGGCCAGGGAGACGGCGATCACAGCCTTGGCCGTCTCCGAGTCCCAGCCGCCGTCCGCCCGACGCTGCGACATGACCCAGGAGAGAGCTGCAGACGCCGCCTCCGACGCCGTCCGGCCATCTGGCGGGCAACAGAGCAGTTCCGTTAACTTTGCAGCAGTGCGGCAAATTCGTCTCGGCAAAAGGTGTCATGGACACCGAGACATTTTCGTTAAAACTCCGAACAAGACCAAAATCATTGGAATCCAAATTTATTCATGCATGGAAATCAGAAATTACGAAAAGACATCAAAACTGCGAAGCCACGTGGTCCGTAAAGGTGTCACTTTTCACCAAACATACTGAATTGGGTAACACTGTTTTTTAAAGATTTAATCCAAGCCTTTTGAAAAGATGGATTTCTTGGATCAGAGCTTACGCTACACAGTGCTTGTTGTGTGATCCCTGACCATACCACCCGATCGCGCGATTCCATGCCAACTTTCTAGAATTCGTTTGAGGTGCTGGGCCGATGAGATGGACCTGTCTCGCCACAGCATCCGATATCTAACCGGTTTCGGTAGCTTTAAGTTGCGTTCTTGACATCAGAACTACTTTGTTGTAAAAGTTTGACGGTAAAACTTGACAACGAAATGGACATCAGATTGACATCAGTACTAGCTTTGAAGTATATATTTTAGCAACAGCGAGGCACAACGCGGATCTCAAGAAATCAGCTTGCTGATACGTAACCTTCATCGATGCCAAACACACAATAATCGTCTTGGGAATTGGGTTGGGCAGCGTCGCTTACGTTATTTATGCTTCGAAATGGTTTGTGTATTCGTTGCGACGAGTATGAAAGAAGAAAAAGTTGGTCAGCGGACTGATCCCGCTGGTAACGTTTCCTGTCCTTATCCTCGGTATGTGCCATCGAAACATTTCGGCTGAACCGCCTGTGTTTCGGACAGCCTTAAGGTAGCATCGGTAGCATTAGCGTCGTGGTAGGCAGCATCATTTAGGTAGTATTAGCACCGTGCATTGGATGTTGGGACGTGAGAGCTTGTTGGGATGGAATGTTCGTAACTTTTTTGTAATGTCCTTGACTTTGATCTTCGCGGTAAGTAGTTTCCCAGCCGTATTCTGGTTAGCGCATGAAAGCCTTGGACCCTAAGCCTGATTGCCTTTTGCCCCCAAATGTACCGCACATTACAATGCATTTTCTGTCTTCATCCAGGTTCTATCTCGTGAAAAACCAACCACCATTCACAGCCTAGCCTGACATTGCGAACTGACATGTCAAACATGTCAGGCACCGTTAGCTTACCGCTCATGTGCAGACAGGTATCGACCTTCCATATTCCAGCAGGTGCTGTTCAAGCGACACTACCAAGCAAACATTGAATATGTTGGAAATATTCGACGGTTCAAGCTGTGGTCCTGTCATGCGTGCTGCTATGTCATGCACAGGTGACATGCTATGCATACACAGCCTGTAATCTGTGCTATCATGTCATAGATCGTAGAAAAACCAGGAGCTCAATGTCTTTTCTTTCTATCAAGCGCATCTAAAACACCTGCTGCGTACCATGTGGTACAAAATTAGCATGATGGGCTCAGGTGCCTGGTGTGCGTGGTGTTCATCAACGTTCTTTTAAGTTTCCTCTGCCCGTATTTCCTTATTTTTCCGATGTGTATTGGGAGGGGTCAGTGAAGCATTGGCAAACTGCGCCTGCCTAAACTCTCATACTAGTACTGTGCATAGGCAACAGTCGGCTCAGCTTCAAGCGCGGTCAGTCGCCTCACAGCGAGCGGTGTAGTGGCACCGCCAGCCCCACGACCCTGAAATATGCTGTAAAATGTGCCCATGTGCCGCGCTCGGTCGGCAACGGTTCCAGTTTCACGCGAGGACAGGCCTCAAAGCTAATGAACAGGGTTCACAAAAGGTCAGAGGTCCGGCTGGAGCCCAATGCGTTCATATGAAGAGGTCCATGCAGCGCGGAACATTTTACACGAACAGCATGACTTCAGCGCGCTGCTCGGAGCTTCCATAATCAACTCAGCACCATGTGGGATTCAGAGGTCACATTCACACAATGGAAATATTTATGCAGTTTATGTTTCAAGGCATGAGACAGCAGAATGTCTCCACAGTGAGCACTCCATCTCTGGGCTGCTGCCCAGCATGCGCGTACACGTGTTGGCTTGTAAACACTTAAATTCTGCATCAATCGTGTGCGGTGTAGTTAGTATAAACCTGATCTTTACCATTCTTTTCCTATAACGTGATCGTCCCACCTTATTGTTTCACTTGGTAATCATAAGCGCAGTTTGAATAGTTCATGCTTGTCCAAAACCACTGTCTGCTCTCCAACGTCGTTTAAGCAGTACCTTTTGACATATATTTATGCGTCGATAACTCTCCATAAGGATAACAACTCTGACCCCGCGCGTCGAAAAACCAAGAGATGAACGCCTTTCCTGCGTACATCAGGTCTGTTAGTCCTTTTACCTGGTCTCGCATCGGGCAGCGACAGTCAACATCGCTTTAGCTATCAGTTGCCTATGATCTGACACCTATGTCTTCCGGACGATCTGTTCTCGCCGATGGCAATGTGTTTTGGAAGTAACTCGGGACGGAAAGGGAGAGATAAATCGACGTCAGGGACGGGCCCTAATGAAATATGAACCTCGGTGTTCCAGAAATCTCCGAATGCCACGAATCGATCGTCTGGAACTTTCACATCCCATTTTCAAAACGAAATTGCATTCATCAGCGGTAATTACAACCAAATGGAGCTCCGGGTGGTATTGGTTCGTGGTAATTCTACGTCGCCGCTAGGATTCGGGCGCGCCCGACTAACCGGCCGACGGTCAGCCGCCGTCACCCGCGGCGGCCGCGTCCGTTGCCATGCGGGCAAGGATCTCCGATAGCTGCCCCTCCCCCCCCCCCCCCCCCCCCCCCCCCCGCCCACAGCCGGCTGATCTCACTTGAACGGGTGTGCGGGGCCGACGGCGGGACGGCGACGTGTTAATGAGCTCCGGCGCGTCGACCGTCGGCAACGGAGCGCCGGCCGCCGCCGCCTGCGCCGCCCGGCTCGGGACCCGGCTTTATCGGGCCGAGGGGGACTGTAGCTTCCTCTAACAGCTGGACAGCGAAACAGATGTGCTGGCTCCGCTGGGGCTCATAATTTCCACCGCTAACTGAATGGTCCAATTAATCCCGGGACGACCCGGAGCACCATCCCCCGACGACTGTGATGTCGGGCCCGGGTCCGACTGCAGGGGCGTAGCTCTCGGCTGTCCGAACCTCAGCTATATGATTATAAAATAAGGGGAGGAAATAGCACCAAGCGCGTCACGCCTGGGGCAACACCCTCAGGAGAAGGCCTTATTATATATTATCGGGAACAGATTCCATTTGGAAGGCTTATTCTGGCCCGGTGAGACCCTCACGCTTTCTAAAAGTTAACATATAGGTTTGGGAGATATTTGATTTTCAGTTGAGAGGTCAGTGCAGGTATGTCTGTAATTTTGTACCACACCATGATGCAAAAATAACGTCATGCAAGTCTGAAAAAAGATCAAATGCTACAACAACCGTTTCCACGGAGGATTACGGCGCGCAACTTTTCAAAACCGTTAAAAAGTTCCCAACAATTTGGTTATAAGCGACACAACTTTTACGAGCGATTTGCCGCCTGAAATGCTTTGAAGAGATTTAAAATGTCGGCAAAGTCGGATATGTTGATCAAACTGCGATTTACTAGTAACAGACAAGACCGCACCTGCACAGGTAGTTATGATGTCAGGCATCCTCCCACCGAAACTTTTGAAACTGTTGAAGAGATCCGGTGGCATAATTGACAGAGACGCCACAATACAGACTCCTGCTCTTTGTATGCGTCCATGTTCACAAGTATGCAGCACTTAGAGGCTACATACCAAAGCATTTTGCACGATGAGTGATCCTTCAATTCGATGATCCTCAATGCAGGCCTTGCTACGCTCGACGCCGATTTAAGCAATAATAGTACGGCCAGCATTCAACGCCTCCAACTGATTCCCACCGTTGCCAGCCTGGCATTATCCTAGAATCTGAGAGAAACCAAAAGGCATAGACTTAAGAAACACATGTGCATAAAAGGTCTCGTTTCGGATCGCATTTTTTCTGGGTTCGATAAACATGGTGCACAATGAATAGTGCTATCTTTTCCGATCCGATCCAGCCTAGCTATTAAATTTTAGTGGAATTCCATGAGAACAATGATATTCTTGCTCAGAAATTGATACATACTGAAGCTTTGAACCAATTTTTGATAATATTTGGAAGTCTTTTAACACATTAATGCGTATTGAAGACGTCTAATAATTAGCTATATGGAACATGAATGTCTGACAAAACATAAAAATAAAGTCATAATTCTGAATAAAAAATAGGTTCTTACATTTTGCATACTGATTCTACGTATGCACCTATCGGTATCTACTTCGATCATAATCCGCACGGCAGCACAGAGTTATCGGCACCCTCGATTCAAATCGCTTAGAGACTGATCAGATTTACAGTCACCAGTTTTCAAGCAGTTCTACTCGTGAATCGGCGAAAGAGCACTATATCAGTGAGCTTCTCTCCTTTAAAGTATCTACATGATCACAATTGGGTACTTTCACATAGGCTATCGCCTTGCCCTTTTTACACCCCTCAAGGCATCTTACTGGTTTTTATGCTAAAGACATAACAATTACCAGATACGAGTGAATTTCCACACTGGTCATCCATCGGTAGTCATTTTCATTTCTAGACATTCATTTTTGCGTTCAGATGCAGAATGTCCATCAGGTTCCATCAGTCGCAAGCGTGTTGTCGAGTGACTGCGGACATATGCCACGGTTTGGGCCCTGGCGAACAGGCGCACGGCAGAACACCATTTCCAGTATTTCAAAGCATCTCACCACACGGAACAGCTTAGCCTTCCGTCAATACCAAGTAATTTGAGCCCGGTGATATTTGTGTGGCGTGAAAATTACCTCAGTTAGAAGGCGCTATTTTTTGCTACAAGTGCCAGCGACCAAAAATCTAGAACCGACTGACCGTCCAGGCGCTAATTCGCACCACCGTACATTTCAAGATCGCAAGAT